AGTGAATAATGAAATTGCAAATTTAAACTGTCTGAAACCTGTCCTCCAAACCCAGAGGCCTTATGTAAAAGCAATCTCATTTTCATTTTATTCTCTGGGAACTCTCCACGGCACAGTGAATTGCCAGCTTTTTGTGACCTTCAGTTCCTTAACTGCTCCCATAGGAAAATTGACCTTGGAACTGTAGAGAGGAATGGAACAATTTTCAAGCTGGTGTGGGGCTGGGGCAGAAAAACTTATGGGTTCTCCTACACTAAGATTTGTAGAACCGCTGAGATCACAAAAATGGAGACAAAAGGTACAAAAAAGATGCACATGAATTCCAAAGAGCATAGATAGCAAGTCTGACATGTGGGATGGAGACTCAGGCAGTCAGCCAGGACCAATTTCCAGTGAAGCTTTCAGAATCAGACAATACCTGATCTCCTCCAGATGCACAGCTGATTCAGGGCTCCCTGATTGCTTAGAACATCTTAGGCCTGAAGTAGAATTCAGAGTGTACAAGAATTCCTCCTTAACTATAGATAGTTTCTACAGGGGTTGAAGCTATACTCATAATAGATTTCCATTTTGTACAGGGACTTCATTAGTTTCCCGACTGTTTGGAGATGAGAGGTCCATCTGGTTATTGGTTTAACCAGGAAAGGTCTTGTGAATATGGAGCTCTGACCCCTACTTATGAATACTGTTCTATAGGCATACAACAGATTAGGGGACTGTGGCTTCTTATGTTTCTCCTGGCATGAATTCTTATTATGTTCATAGGCACATTGGCTTCCAGATTTTTGCCTTTAAGGCAAACCTTATTAAGTAACAATTAAAGTCTTTTCATCACACTATGAAAATCTAATTAGAATAACAGCATTGTCACTCTGTCCTGATAGAATTCTTTCTAGTCAAAAAAACTGAAACTGTTATTTGTGTGGGTTTCTATAGCCTGAGAACAGGCTGTGTAGTCATTTGGCATTTTAAATATCCAAAAATAGCTTGTGGGCCCAATTCCTACCATTTTTAGGGCTTAAAAATCCAGAGGACTGCTTCTGTATTAGAAAAACAGTCCAAAGAATTGGAATCCCCAAATCATGGGACACGTTAGCTGAGTGAGACTGAGGAGAATATCTACAGGGATTGAGCCTCAGGTTTCTTATCAGAAAGGATAGCATCTGAATTGATTCTCATCCCACAGGGTTCCTCTTAAGGTGAAATAAAACCACTGAGGTACTGGAAAGTTTTAAAATGTATAGCCTTCTCCAAGAAAAATTTCATTACAGAAATCAACTTTTTAGAAATCTTGATACGATAAATAAAAAATTTGTTTCCTTTACTAAAATCAACCAAACAAAAGATAAAACAATGTTTATGAACCAGGAGATAAGAATAATTTTCTTTCACATCTTCGTAAAGGGATCAAAATCCTGACCTGTGGGCAATTGTTGTCATTGTCATTGTGTGTATGTGGCTATTCTGGAGGAGAGGAAAATACCCTGATACTGAGTTTTATACATTTACAGGGTCAAGAATATCTACTGAAGGCAGAAAGAGGGAGTAAATATGTACTCTGAGGATCTAAGCAAATAATTTAGAAAGCACTCATTACCTTTTTACACTTAGAATCCAAATAGTGCAGACACTATGGGGTGAACAAGTTTCCCAAAATAGGATTAAAGAACATGAATGTTTGAGTAAGACTGACCCAACTCAAGTTTCACCTCATCTTGCTTATTTTGTGGCCTGTGTATTTTATATAGGGTTGTTTTGAGAATTAAATGAAAATATGTATAGATAAAAAGGCAGCGGTTCATATCCTGGTCATAGAAACACTTGATCAAGGTGAAATGTTGTTGTAAGTCCTTGTGTTTCAGCTGCGTACTTTGCTCTTTGTTCCAGTGCTTTATCTCATAAGAATGATAACACACAAATATAGTGCACATGAGGTCAGCTAGTTGGAAAGGGTACAGGTGGGTGTGTTCATGCAATTCCTGTTTGTAGGCTTTTGTTACCACATTCTTGGTATGTCTGAGGCAGGTCTGTAAAAACAAGAAATTCTTTGATCAAAGATGTTCAGCTGACCACATTTTATGATGGCATTTCTTTATCTTAATCTTATAAATGCTGAAGAATTGTGGAGTTTTGGAATTTCTGACAGATAGCTGCTAAAAGTTTTAGGATATGTCTGAACAAAGTGATCCTGAGGTTGATGGTAGAGGGTGGCTTATTGCCATAGATCAGTTATTGCTTAAAAGACATCAACAAGCTCTTTGGACTCCAAGCCAATATGGATGTTTTGGTTTCAAATGAAAAGAGCCTTGATAACATGAGCTGTGGATGTTTCTTCCTGATTTCAGCCTCTTTCTGCCCAAATTTCTTGGGTTTTGATGAGTGGATATTAGCTGAGTTGCATGAGATAGTAAATTCTTGAGTTCCCAGAGAAGGATAGGTTGAAGGTGTTATATGTCAGTTTAGGTGTTAAAATAGTCTGAGTTCATGGACTAGAAAAGGCCTGGGAATTAACTGTGTTTACTAAGGAAATATCTAGGACCCATACGATTCCAATGAAACTAAAGCTCTTAGAAATGCTTTCTTTTGCTCCTGCCTTCTTTTCTCTCTCCTCCAAGAAGGTCCAGACCAGTTCAGTGCCGGCCTTTTGGTTGTAGTAGCAGCCAACTGGCCCAGGCATGGCATATCTCAGGGCTGATGTTGAATCTCTGTGTAAGTCAGCCTTAGTAACCTCCGGTTTATGATCCTCCATGTGCTCAACTCTGTGCTGTCATGCGAAAGACAAGAGGCTAGAAACCAGGCTGAGAGGCACGGATTCCAGCTCAGCCTCTGAGTGACTCACTACATGATCCTGGGCAAATTAATTAACTTCTGTGTTCTGACTTCCTCATATGTATAAAAAAATAACAACACCTATTAATCCAAGTCAATCTCATGACTAATTTCTCTCTATTTAATATCCAATATATATGAAACAGGAAAGCGTGATGTACCCTCAGGGTCTTCCGGTGTTATTTGGCTATAAGCCAGATACTGCACAGAAAGGACAGGCCAGTGCTGTGTGTCTGTCCCTAAGGCAACTGACAGCACTGTGAGTAAACCTGGCCAATGTGTTTGAATGTCCTGAGACCCTTTGCTTTCTTCAAAACCACTTCCATCACTTGCATTATCTAAAGACATCCTCTAGATAGTGACAGACATTAGCTTTTTATAGGGTTTAATTTCTTCCTGGAATTCAAAGCTTTCCATAACTCTCCATGCATAACATTCCTGGGACACAGGCCAGACTAACTGCAAATTACACGTGAGGTTTGGATATGCAGTGGCCTAAATGATTTCATCTAGTTGAATGCTGCAGCCACTGAAAATTCCAGCCACAAACCTGAGGGGATTCATTTCAGCTCCATAAATGATGGACCAGAATGATATCAAATATTACCTTGTTGAAGACATGGCCCAGCCTCTCCTTTAAAGGAGTTGAGAAAAATAAGCCCTCCTTAGGCTTCTTGGAAGAACTGTAAGAGCCAGCCACCATCGACTGGGGCTGACAGGTCTATGTGGTGGGAATATTATAATGTTCATGCAATTAGGGGGATTATATTTAGAACTAAAAAAGAAAGAGTCATGTTTGTTAAAAATAACATTTCCATTGCACAATCTGAACCATGGGGACTGAAGAAACAACAAACAGCTTCAGGGAGGTGGGATGCACAGAAATCTAACATTTATGTCACTTGGAAGGACAACAGAAAGAAAGGACTAAAAAATTATTCCACAAAAATGGCTGAAAATCTGTCCCCCCCAAAAGTAACATTTCCAGAATGTGTAGGCTTAAGGGAGAAAATTCAACATTTGTGATTACTTAATAACCTTATTCTTTCTCACAAATCACTTAATAACTTGTCCAGTTAATTATTTCCTCCCTACACATCTCCAGCAACGGGCAAGTTTCTCTCCAAAACCACAAGCTCTTGCACCTGAGGTGTATCAGATATCAGGTTTGTGCATGAGTCTTATGTTTATTAATCATTAATCTGAGAGGGTCTTTGTGGTGTTTCTCTATTTTTAATTTTCTTATGGTCCTGGGGATTGAACACAGACCCTTCACTCTGAGCTACATCCCTAGCCCTTTTCAAAAAATATTTTTATTTGGAGACAGGGTTTTGCTAAGTCACTAAGCTGTCCAGACTCTGCTTGAACTTGTGATCCTCCTGCCTGAGCTTTCCAGGCTGTTGGGATTACAGGTGTGTGCCACCAGACTGGCTCCTTTACTACTCCGGGTAGGACACATGCTATGATCAAAAGTGAATATAGACTTCAGCTTCAGAGAAGAGTGCCCTCTATGTTACCATGTGTCTGTTCTATGGAGAGACTCAGGCAATGGCTTTGGTAGTCCTCCATTAAAGGCAGGAAATAGCCCTGCTTGAGTAAATGATTGACCTGGCTGCCCACTGTGATAAGCTTATATAAATAGGCCTTATGCTGCTCCAGTAATTTCAGACTTTTAACTCCCTAGGTTCCAAAGCAGAAAAATACACATGGATCTCTGACAGATCCTACCATTTGAGGCTAATGGCCCTCTGAATGGACAGTGTATTTCTTAGAATTCTACGTACATTGTCCTCTCTGTTAAATTTTGAAAGTGGAAAGAATTCATGCAAACAAAATTCTGGAACAAAGCCTTCTTTGTGGAAGCACTACTAATGGAAGAATTTCAATAAATCACAAATATAATTTCTCGTAATAAAAGACAAAAAGAAACCTTCCACATTTTTGAACTTTATAGAGGAACACCAAGAACTCCCAGAAGAGAGAGAAGACTGAAGGATATATAGGCTACACTCCAGAACATGCTGATGGATACATGATTGAATTCTGACACACACCCACCTCCACCACATCTCCTTCAGCAGACCACTGTCAGGCACTCTGGTTACACAGCTAGGCAAGGTACTTGTCTTATGATCTTGAGGGAAGGGCCAATGACCAGACAGACTGCCTACCTTGGTTACTGCTTTTCAATCCAGATTCTTTTCTAGTTGTTCCAACCTTTGCTGGAGAATATGGGACTTGGTGAAGAAGCATCAGCACTTTTCTACTATTTCCTAGGAATGAAAGTGAGCAGCTTCCTCAGTTTCCTTCCCTGTTCTCTCAGGCTACACAGAGAATGGTCACAGGAAGCAACTTGCCTGGAGCAAGGTGTATTGACAGATGTGAAGGAGGGAGTCTGCCCTGGCTCAGCCAATCATCACACACCAGGGCAGGCCTCTAGTCCTGAACAATTCCAACCAGAGAGCTGGATGACAAAATCAGACAGTGGGACAGTAAAGGGCAGAAAGCAGATGTTGAAAGCTATTGACTATACAGCCAAGCAATTACCTTGTAACTGGATCTATGATGTGTACAAGAGACCCTGAGAGTAATTTATTTAAAAGAAGAAAATTTTACTCCTTTATATGTCAGCAGTCTTAGAAAGAGATTTGGAGATCATTTTGTCAAACCTCCCATTTAATAGTAGAGTTTTTAAGGAACTTCTTGTTTAGTGAGAACAATCTGGCCATTCTTAGTAGTAAGTAAGGCTGCATTTATGAAGATTACACTGCATGTTACTCCACATACATTACTACAAATCCTCATGATAACCTTGGGATTTTATTCCTTTTTGTTGTTGAGGGAGCAGAGGCTCAAAGGGGGAATAGTCATAGAACTAGCAGGTGATGAACCTGGGTTTAGAACTCAGGTCTACTCTAAAATCAATGCCAGTTAGAAATAGTTTCCATGACACATACCGTGGGAGGAGATTGAATAATAGCTCCCAAAATACCAGCCCCCAATCTCCAGAACTAGGAATGTGTTACCTTACATGGTACAAGGATATCAAGGTGTGATGATTATGTTAAGGATCTTGAGATGGAAACATTTCCTGGATTGTTCACGTGAGCCCTCTGGAATCACAAGGGCCCTCATAAGAAAGAAGAATCAGAGACGTGACTAAGAGATGCAGAGTCAGAACTGACAGTTCTGTAATGCTACTTTGGGCCTTCAGAAAGAGCATGGTCCTGATGCCTCATTTTAAACTTCTGACTCCAGACCTACAAGGGAATAGATTTGTGTTTTGGTAAGTTGCCAAATTTTTGGTAATTTGTTACAGCAGCAACAGGTGATAATGCATACTCTCCTTGAAACTCGTCATGATGGCGAGCTCTCTGTTTCACTTAGCATCCCATTGACATAGGAATGATCTTACTAACCACTTTACAATTTACCCTGAGGGTCACTCAGGCAGCACATTTGTTTAGATACTGCCTATCTGGAGCTTGAGCAAGTGTCATTTCAACCAGTCAGTTCTTGTTTGCATTTATATTGACTATTTTTTGCATATGTTTTTATTTAGAGCATTTTATTTAGAACATTTATTTAGAACATTATTGTATCACCTTTGGTATTTGTTTGTAGTGAGATCTAACAATAAATTTTGGTAATTTTCTTTTACTGATTAGTGTTTATCCTATTTGTGAAAAATAACCTGTAATTTTGTGCTATAATGTATAAAAACTCATCATAAGTACATTAAATATAATTTTTTTACTTCCCCAGAATTCAGTAATATTCTTTTACAGTACAAAAGGAACTCATTTGGGATACTGAGACTGAATAGGAAGGAAATGCCAAAAAATCTGTAAAAGAAAAAACTGGAATAGGGAGAAATGTTAGCATATCAGTGAGCAAAAGTCTGTGTTATGAAATGGAAAGAAAAAAATGACATCTGCTTATTGTAGAACTTGAAAGAAGAAACAAAACTAAAAAATTTGAATAGTGGTCAATGATTATAATAATTCTATGGGTGGTGTTGACAGAGTTGACCAATATCTAACAAGCTATCCTGTAGTCAAAGAGTGAGGAAAAATATTATTATAAAAAATTTATGCACCATCTGGACCAAACAACATGGAACACATTTGTTACTTATCAAAAGAAGGGGGTTCAAAAAGTGATTTAGAATTTAGATTAGGTCTAATAGACCAAATCACTGAAAAGCAAAATGCCAACCAGGACATCTGTCATCAATGTCTTCATCATTACATTTGATGGGAGGATGTTTTATTGAAATTATACCACTCACAGGAAAAAAAGGAAAGGCCAGCACAACAGTGTAAAGTGTGTTGTTCAAAGAAAGACAATAATACAAAAAGAATTTGGAAAGAGACAAGAGACTACGGTCCAGATTTAACGTTGCATTGTGTGCTGAATGTTTTAAGATATAACATATACAGAAAAATTATTGAATAAATTTGATAAAATTATTGTTTTTGTATTTCCTGTTATATTATCTCATAAAAATTAATAGAAAAATGCAATTTTTGGTTATCCTGTATTTAAATAATTGGACTGGTAAGTGATTAAGCCAAGCTCCACCTTCCTGAAATGGCAACTACTTGTCCTGTTTCTTTCAGGCAGATAAGACACTTAGCAAGGCAGTTAGAAATTGTAGGAAGCAGTATTGGGAAGGATTGCAGAACCTGGATTTTAGTCCCATCTCTACCTTAGCCAGTGTGTTTCTCCAGGGCTGGAGTTTTTTTTCTCCTGTAACAGTAGTGTCTGGCACAAATGTTCTTTGATCTCTTCCAGATTTACAATTTTAGTCATCTAACATTTCAAAATATTTGAAGATATTCCTGTCACCTTTCTCCCAATTTTTACTGTTCTAGTTCCCTCTGTTTCTTATGTACAATGACCTCTGGACCCTGTCTTCTTGGTGCTCTTCCTTAGGAAGGGTCCAATTTACTAATTTTCCTCTGAAATGCGGTATCCAGATCTATACATGGTGGCCAGCCATCCCTGTCTACCAGCATGCCTGCTTCCTTGGTCCCTGTCCATGGAGTTTTGCCAGATACAGTCTAACTATCACACAGGCTCTTTGGACTTGGCTTAGTCTGTTCTTATCTTGTTTTATCTGACTTTACCTCTTGAAAGAGCACCTGTACTGAAAAAAATCCAAGAGTCTTAATTTATTTTTTTTATTAACAGGAAGGACTAAAATGTTCAAACACCAGCCTACGTTGGCCATCTTTGCTTGATTAACATTTAGTGATAATTCATTCTCAAAGATACTGGAAATGTAGAGGTTTATAACTTTTTAGGATCACAGATTCATTTGGAGAATGTAGTGAAAGCTAAGGATCCTCTACCAGAAAAAAACTGCACATTCATCTGAGATTTTGTGTATTTTTTGAAGTATTTCAGTTCTCCTGAAATCACTGGCTTCCCAGCTATGGAGCAGCTCAGATCTATGTTTACAAGGCTGTTTGTGGGGAAGGCTTTTGCAAGTCAGTTTATGTTTTCTTCGTCTAGCACTCTACAGAGGCCCTAGAAATGAAGCCCCTGAGCTGAATTTCAATGAACACCCAGTGAGAACCAGGGCAGAAAATTTCCAGGCCAAAAAGAAGCTAAATTCTCAGGTTAAACAAAGAATAGCTTTTAGTAGCCTCCTTTTGCAGTAAGAGCTTTGCTTCTCAGGGTCTTCCTGTAAGGATAAATCCTATTCTTTGGATGCCTGCCCCCTTAGATTAAAGTCTTCTGACTGCCTAAGGCTCTTGCAATTGCATGATGCTGTTGGACAGAGGCTGACACTTTTTTTTTTTTGGTACCAGGGATCAACTGGGGTCCTTGCGCTTGCGCAGCAGGTGGTGAAACCACTGAGCTAAATCCCTGGCCTGGAGGCTAACACTTCTATTTCTCCTTTCCCATTGTTACTCCAAACACTGCCCAGCTGTGAAAACACCCTGGTGTGACTAGTGTTTTTGTTTCAGTGGCTCTTGTCCAAGCTGTACTGGGTGAGGTTTGAGGCACATGGGTTTTGGTCTCTGTCTCTCCCTTGCAACCTCCTACCCTCTCTGAGAATGAAAGGTTTCAAGTCTTAAAAATAATAACACTCCTTTGATCATAGTGAGCAGATTTGCAAAGGGGTAAACATAAATGTACTGTTGATTGAGAATTCCTATGGGGGGAAATAAAAACCACAACAAAAATCCAGGACATTCAGGCATCCTAACCTGGGGAATCAGAAAAAGGAGTCACTTTCAAAGTTGAAGAATGCTCATTGCATTCCATTTATACCCAGCACAGCCATATGTGGGACTAACTACAAGATATTTATTTCCCCAGTTTAAATTAAATTGCCCCCAACCCTGCAAAAAAGAACATGGAGATTATGTGAGCATGGGGGGAGGGCTTCTATCACTCTTTTTAGTTGAGTAAAGAATATTTAGAAAGAGTACAAGACTAATTCAGTCTTAGGCAAAAGTGTGTGGTAGAATCAACTGGAGTATTTTCTGTTTTTTTCAAAAACTGGAAAGGATCATAAACTTATGTTATTTCCATAGCTTCTTCACAAGGTGTTCTTTAAAAACTTTAATTAAATTGATTTTGAAATGAAATTTTTTATCATTGAACATTCTGAATCCCTTGTTATGAAGAGAAAATAACTACAACATAAATGTAATAAAAACAAAATGTTACTGTTAGCTAGATACTAATGCTTTTTTGATGAATAAAGGAGAGACAAGTTCCACCAATAAATTGAGACTTCACTCTTAACTAGTCTGAGTTGACTGTGAGATTAATATATTTAAGGTGAGGTTATCTTCTACTCCAGATCTTCATGTATACCACCAGTGGGATTGTTTACACTCTTGGAGAAATGCTTATCTGGTTGACTAATTTCCCAATCAGCTAACATATTTCCATTGACTTCTGAGATACATCCTAAGAAATAAGGAATCAGAATCTCCAAGGATTGGATCTAGAAATATATATTATGAACACTTTTAGATGAGGAAGCTTCCAGAGGTGGGAACCCAAGACAAATCCTGGGAAGTTGTCTCTGTTCATCCTTTGCCACTGATGACCACTCCTTCTCATCTACGAGAAAGGGGGGTGGGGGTGGAGGGGGGACTCAACCCAATGCCATTTGGTTGCCTTGACCCTTGACCTTCTGCTGCAGAGGCCCTGAGATCCTGCCACACAAAGACCTTTCTCATTCTTTCAGTCTGAATATACCTGCATTGTCTTTCATTGATTAGTTCCTGCTAAACAATTCAATCAACACAAAGGTTACCAGTTAATCCGGTTAAAAGGATTGTACTGGATGCTGTTTGGAGAAGGCAGGTGCAAAGTTCCAGCCCCTAGTACAAGACTAATAGCTACTACTGAATATTTACTATGTACCATGTTCTGTTCTAAAATGCTTTACTTACATGTTATTTGGTTTTCTATCTCTCTTATTTGGTTTACCACCTTCATAGAAGGAATGATTAGCCCATTATTCTATATACATAGAAATAGATACAGAATTTAGCTAAGGTCACACAACCAAGATGTGAAGTTGGAACAGAAACTCAAATCTGCTCATCTTCTATGTGTATAACCTTACCATAACATAAATTAATCTGTGATAAGATATTAAAAGTTCATGCATAATGCAAGAGCTCTATTGTCATAGTGGAAATGTCTCAACTGAAGTAGATAAAAATTGAGGCAGAACTGCAGTTTCCCTATAATTACATTATGCAGGTTATACCTGCTTTACTTACACTTGAACCCAGTCCTATCTACATCATATGATCTGATATTAAAAAACAAATGAGAATTACTGAAGTGCTTGATAAAGCCAACCAGAGACAGTATAGTAGTTTTACTAAGGACTAACTACATGAACAGGCAGAAATTTTTTATTATGATACTCATAGTATGTTCTTATAGTATGGCTATACTAAATATCACAATATAGCTATGCATACATATATAGATATATAGATATGCATATATATCCTTATTCCTAATTACCTGTTCCAATATATGACTACAATAAATATAACTTGGACTTAATTCAATCTCTGCTAAAGTCATATAAAGTACTTTTACTATCAATCCATTATTTTTGTAGGGGATAAAGCAAGAAATAAATTCATTGAAATTAAGTGTTGTTAGATATCCTATTTTAAAGAATTAGGAATAAAATATTGAAGTCTTCATTGCAATAAAAACTTCAGGTCCATTCTGACTGTGTGCACAAATACGTACTTTCAGTACTGCTCTATTTCTGGGCAGTTAGCAACAACTCAAATTCATGTGGGCTAGAGATGCTGGGCAAGTGAGATTATGGATGTCAGTAAGGTCTGGCACACAGTTAGTGTAGAAAACAGGTGCTAAGGATGGGCCTGGAAAAGCACGGGACACGTATATTTCACACACAGCTCCTGCTGGGGACTGCAGCCATTTGTAGCTAGACAGGACTGAGAAGGTTTTCATCCAATATTGTATAATAAAGTATTTTATTGACAGTGAGTCTACAGCTCTTTAAATCAGAAGCAGACCAATAATAAAATGTTCATTTACACAAAGGAAAAATGCAGAACAAAGTTTTATATTTATTATTAGATTGAAGCACATTTAAGTAGTTCAAATCAAATACAAGAAAACACATCATGTCATGGTACACATTAACATTTTTTCACAGTTAAAATGAGGTATTCGGCTTTACAATGTTCTAGGCTGAATTAAGCAGTTTAATCAAGGTTTCAAGAAAGAAGAGATATATTTGAATAATTATATCCTAAAGGGAAAAAAGTCAAATGAAATGTGTGTGGATAATTAAGCCACAAAATACATTTTAAGAGTATTAAGCAGCACATATGCAAAATTTTTATCCTATCCTTAAATTGATATAATTTATTATTTTAACTTAGCAAACATGCACTCTAGTGTAAATGAGTAATAGAAGACAAAATGTAATACTTGTTAGAGTATTTATCAGATACATAAATTATCTGATTTGACCAAGACTTATTTTCACTATGACAATTTCTGTATTTTTAAATTGTTGAGCAGTGAAGTTAAGTGTTACAGTTGGCATATACACAATACAAATATTGCATACACAATCTGTATTAAATATTTATTAATATTGTGGTGTAAATTAGTATAATAGCAGCAAGGCAATATTATTTCTGAATATGTTCTAAATTTATCATATTGATACTATAGATTCTTAACTCAAGTGTTATTAGTGCTATGAACTAATAACAAATGTAAAATTGCAAATGTACAGAGAGCTACTGAAGGCCTATATTTGACCGTTCAAAGTGCTGTGCTTCTTATTGGGCTGAAAGTTGTGAGTGAGCCTGTGCTTTTTTGATCTAAGTATTGGTCCCAAGTTCTGGGTTCCAATCAAGTATAGTTTTAATGACAGGGTGGGGGTGAGAAGCAGAATAATGCATTTGAGAAGACTAAGGAGCAACAACCACTATGACAGAGGGTGTAGGATATCACTGAGTGTATGTGTCTTCTGCCAGTATCCTGTGCTTAAGAGTACTTAGCAGGTAATGGAGGATGGCTAGAAGACAGAAGAAAGTGGTATACTATGAGAAGATGGGAAGGAATGACAGAGAAAATGCCTCTAGACCATTAATGGGGTTCCTCAATAGGCTGTGGGACTGACTCCCAGAAGAGAGAAGGGAAATATTTTTTCTAAATTATTTTTCTTAGATATGAATTTGAAAAGTTCTACGAACAAGTTTTGTTGGAGAAGATGCTAAAATACTATAAAGATGCTTAAATACTATATCCTTGAAGTAGGATAGCATTAGAATGCTTTCACAGTTTATAAGACTGTGCTATTTTAAGGAAAATCAATAACATTTTCTAGTGTATATTTCTAGGTCACTATTTCTAGTAGGAAGGTTGGGGAGTCTAAGGCTAAGGAGCTAGTGGTACTCTTGGGGCGGTAAAGAGCTATTCAAAATTATCTGGGAATAAGGGTAAAGTTTCCTGGCAAACCACCTGTCATTTCATCCAATCACTCCTGTATGTCCTGAGGAAACATTCGTTAGCCACAAAGCTATGGTGGCAAATATGAGGGACCAGCCTGAGGCAGAGGGCCAAGATGTACTAGGTCAGTGGAATTTAGAGGGACACCCATGTTCTTCTATACCATATCATACATTTCTTACCCATTTGTGTATTTAATGCTATCAATTTATATTTGTTTTCTCTTGCCACAAGGCTATTTAGGATGCATTGGGAAAGTGTGCACCTTAGGAACCCATATACATGTTGGTAGATTTCTTTGAGCCCTGCATATTTCAATGTACAGACCAGATAAGGTACCATACCTAGTCAAGTTCTGTGAACTTACACCACACTGTTGGGAGATGAGCCCAAACAGTATTCTCCACATATATGTCTAGAAGGAAGAATTACAACTGTATATCCATTGAATACAAAATATTTAATCTAAACATTAGGGACCTATTGGGGACCTAGCCAACTGAGATGTGCAAAGCACTCAGCACTTAAGTAGCAAACAGTATCTTTATTAAAGAGGAAAGAACTAAGGATGACAGCACAGGATCACTTGCTCAGCTAAGGGGAGGGGAGTCTCATGGCCATGCGCCATTCACTAGTCCACACAGACTAACATTACAAAGCCTCAACCGTAGCATGAACTCAGTCTATAATGGCCTAGTTTTGTATAGCCCTTTTGCTTCCCAGGAAAAAGAAATCATTCCATTTCAGCCTGAATTTCTTCTGTTTCCACTGTTAGCTTTATCCTATGCATTCCTGCTAGGTTAGAATCTTGTCTCTTTGGGAGCACTTTATATTGGTAAGATTAAAAAAACTAGAGATGGAAATGCTGACACATCAGAAAGCTTCATTTAATTTCAGAATGCTATATTGTATTGTCTTAGTGAGAAACATATTTATGTGAATATGAAGGCCTGAAAGAAGAACAAAGATTTGTAAGATTCATCATTACCTAGGCTCAGATCTTGTGCTTTTCTTTGGATTTATATAAAATCCTGGGTTTGAAGTGTGTCTTCTCAAAATTCAGGGGTCTCCACTTAACACTAGGGAAAAAAAACCTGAACAATTACTCTTGAATTTAATGCAGCAAATACATTTTTTTTGAATTGTCCTCTTAGATGTGCCATTATTATAAAATACTATAATCCTTAGTAATTTATCATTACTTTCCATCAGATCCGCCTTGACCTCTCCTTCCAGTCCAAATAAGATCTCAACTCATGACACTACATGGCACCTCTAATAGGATCAGAATCCAAACTTTGAAACACCTCTTTAACTTACTTGACACCTGTTATAGTCCCTCCGCCACAAAATCATGGAGATGTGGCCATGTTGTAGTAGTCCATGGAGCTCACAAAAACTCAGTTGAATTTCAGAATAAATATAACCTCAGATTCTGTGAAACTCACTGAAGTCCTCACTGGCTCAGACACATGGCTTTTTACTGATCTTGAAGTTAATTCTGAGCAAGTGTGACAGCATTGTTTTGATCAGAAAAGTCCCTAGAACTTGTGAGAACAAGAGATGTGGTTGTGTCATCATTCTTACTGTTGGCTGTTGCAGAATGAGTCTTTAACCTAAAGTCTATTTTCTCTCTGTGTCATGTGCCTCAGTTCTCCTGCTTGGGCTCATGGTTAAAGAGCAGAAAGCACACATTCTTTACAATATGGGAAGCCTTTGTCTTGGGGCAAAGATTCAAGTGTTTAATTAGGGGAAAATCATAAACGATCCTCCTCTTACTTCCTAGGACTTCTGCGCAGACTTCAAATCCAGGCACTGCTGATCACCCAAAGCAGCATGAGGAAGTGGGTGCCCGCACTCACCACGCAGAGCAGGGCTTCACACATGCAACCCTGGAAGCATTCTGGGCCTTGGTGTCACTCTCAGTGACTTTTCTCTTAGGATGCAGACACTGAGGTGCATTTAAATGTCACAATCCAAGTGAAGTGCAACTGCGTATTTAAAAACTAAGGAAGAAAATCACGTAAACATTTCACTGAACAGTCAGCAGCCACTGGGTGTCATTGGTATCCTGTGCAGATACCTGTCAACACACCTGGCCTCATAGCACCAAGCATCTGGACAAAACTGAGGCTCAAATAAAACAGAGCAGTATAACTCTCCTCTTGCCTCCTTATCTCTTTGCCAAGTACCAAAGGGTTAAAAGAGGGGACATGATCTGGTCCCTGGTAATTGACCAAGAATTTAAAAACAAAACCTAAATGAAACAGTATGAACAAAAATAAAACCCTGAGGGTAGGCCAGGGATTTCAGAGCTTGTCACTAAGGTTAATATCAGAAGTGAAGGAAAATTCAAAAAGTAAGGGCACTCCCTTTCTCATTATTATTCGGAGGCCTTACAGAATTTGACATTACTATTCCAGAAACCTCTTTGGGGAAGAATTCAAATGCAAGAACAAGGCAAGTTAAGCCAGATTTTCCCAGAGCATTTGAGTTGTGACTTCCTTGAGCCATGGAAGTAAAAAGTCAGGGCTTCAGTTATTTACAGGAAGTAAAGGTTGGAAGATCAATAGTTGGGGGGCATGCATGTGCCTTTAGTAGCTCACCTAAGATACTCCCCATTGGAGACAGAATGCAAAACTGTCTATACAATCAAAGGATAGAAATAAACGACTGCTGGGAGAAGGGTCCAGTAATGTTTATAAATGTGCATATCCATTCAGGATTCCAGGTTTTTATTCCCTCCTTAAGAACCCAGAAGCTGACACTTCCTCAGGGATTCTCTGATAGGGTGGAGGGGCATCAAATTGTCCACATCCCCATGTCCAGTTTTATTTCTAGCTCCCTTCTTTCCAGAATTCTGGAGAGTCTACTGCAAGAATTGAAGAGTTCTTTAAGACCCATTTCATCTTCTGTCCCAGGGCGTGGCTTGGTATAGTGGCTCCTTGAATGCGGACTACATCCAAACATAGTGTTCTCAGCAGGCTTGGGACTGGGAGGGGACATTTAGAGCAGAGTCTGAGGTCACTCACAGCCTGGGATGTGTGGTCCTGCTGAGGGGAGGAAGACCATGGCAGAATCTGTCCTGGGCAAGAAAAGGTCAATTAGCTTCTCTGTGAATGCTCCTGAGTTAAGAAGCACTGCAAATACTAACTCTATAAATAAATAAATATATACATAAATCAACCAAAATAGAAGAGGGCTCCTTATAGACAAGTACTTCTTATCAATAAAAAAGAACCCCCCTCTTGAGTTTTGAAACTCTCATGCAGTAGTGATAAGTAGGCTCAGAACAATCTGCAGAAGGTAGAACAAACATGACAAGAACTGGAAATGTTCCAACACTGCGTAGTTCTCACTTGATGACACACAAGTCATCCTGATGTCCCGAGGTAGTCTTGTTTTCAAGGAGTTACAGAATGGCTCCAAAGCCACTTGGAGCTTCCTCCTTTAATGCCATTGCACTTTCCCACACGTCCCATGACAGCCTCCATGGTGTCATGGACAAGGTGCCTGCTATTTAGCACTGTGTCCCACTGGGTCTAGGCAGGCAACAATGAAATGCAATTCCAAGATCTGGCTGGAAGACCCTACTCCAAAGAGGTCTTGGCCAAAATGATGCAGGTGCTTACCTGGCAGTCATTTTGGGAAAAACTACTGAATTAAATCAAAGAAATCTGGCATGCGACCAACATATGTGTCTTTTGTTGGGCCCCACAGTGAAAAGACTTGCCATTATTGTTCTTTTCACTTTTAAGAAGGGGCCAAAAGAAATAGAAATAAATCCATATTTTAAAAGTGAGAAACATATTCTGATACCAAGGGCAGTGGGTACTGTTTATCTGAAGAATTAAGGTGATCAGTTACCTGCACAAGCCATGCATGAACAGCTTGTGGATGAAATACCTTGGTGATAAATAGGCCTCACTCTCTCAGGCAAGAGGTGGTGACATCCAGTAGTCCTAGAGAGAACTGGTGCTGGACCTTTCCCTCTCAACCCCCATTTGAAGTTAGAGGTACCAGGCAGGGCAGTCCACAGCTGCAATAAGCCATTCTTTCAACCAGGAATGCCTTTCTAGTTTAGCATTCCCATGGCTCAAACACAAGATCCTGGAAGAAGTAGGGAACTAGGCCAATTAGAGGAAACTCTATATTCCAGTGGAACTTGGAGAACTTATTTTCATATTCCGTTCACCAACATAAGCCATTGAGGAGATCTTGACCTTGATCACATAAAACATGCTTTCTTCCCTTGGACTTAAAAGGGTTTTTTTAAAGTCTCATTTGGGAAAAATGCAATTAAAAGCCCTGTAATTTTATCCAAATGGCTCTGTGAGGAAGGAAAATAAAAAGCCCTTATCCTCCTATTCACTTTACCATCACTGACTAGGGGCCATCCTAACAGGAAACCCTTCAGAACTCTACCCTGAATCAACAACTTCAACATTAAATTAAACAAAAAATTAAATCAGCATTTAGCCAATGTTTTGTCCTCTTGTAGAAGGTCATTCAACTCAATGACAGTTGTGGCAAAGTCCACCAGGTCCACAAAGTCAGACGTGATGATGTTGACACCCATAGCTCCAGGCTTCTGAATTTTTACCCAGTCCAGGATTGCAGGAAGATTCCTAAAGAAAAGTGGTGGGAGAAGAGGCAACAGAGAGTAGAGTTTAGGATTCCTCCAGAAATAAAAACAGAACATTTCCATTAATATATAACAAAACTATGACAATAAATGCACAAGCCCTCAGGGGTATGTTATTTTAAGCTTTATACCTTCATCATGGATGAAGTAGTTTATATTCGATCAGAGAATTAAACTTTTCAGAGTTTGATGGGAAAGGAGGTTATTTACCTCATGGATCAAAGAGATAACCATGTCAACAGAAGCTTGAAACACTAAGCTCAGGAGTCTAATTGTTTGTACATGCTTTGATTTTTTTTTAAATCACGAAAAATTTCAAACTTATAACATGAAAAGAACTTCATATTAGGTAAAATTCTATCACTTGAGTCTACCACTACTGTTTAGCTATACAGTACTTCCTTGCCACATATCTACCATCAATCCATCACTACCCTCCCAGCAATCCATCTCATATTTTGATATAGTCCAATTATATCTATATATCCCCAAAATGATTCAGCATGCATATAACTATAATGTATATGATACTTGTTTCCAGCTTGTTTTTCTTCTGAAATAAAGGTTACATTCAATAAAATACACATTCTTAAGGGTATACTTGATGAAAGTTGATAAATATATACAAATAATGCAAACCTCTATGAAGGTATAAATCATTATCAACACCCTAGAGAGTTCTGGCATACACTGTCCCAATCAGTCCCTCTCCTGTTTTCCCAGAGGCAACACCTGTACTGATGTTTTTCCCACTATACTCAGTTCTTGAACTTCACGTTAACCATGGAGTATGTATTCTTTTGTGTGAACTTTCTTTTATTCAGGATAATGGTTTTTAAATTTACCTATGTGGTTGCATGTATTTTTTCTTTTTCTTTTTAAATACTGCATAGTATTCCACTGTGTGGATGTAACACAATTTGTTTATCCTTATTGTATGGATACATGGGCTGTTTCCAATTTTGATTATTTCTGGTTAAACTGTGATGGTCATTCTTCTGTGAGTCTTTTCATGGACACTTGTTTTCATTTATCTTAGCTAAACAGCAAGTAATAAAATTACTGTTTTATAAGGCTGGTTTGTATTTATTTTTCTAAGAAACTCCCAGACCTTTTTGCAAAGAGATTGTTCCATTGTGTGCTCCCACCATGAAAGTTCTGATTGCTCTACAAGCTCCCTAAACTTTGGTGCTACCAATCTTTTTAATTTTAGTCATTCTAGTGGGTGTGCAGTGATATCTCCCAGAGTTTTAATGTATACTCTCTCCAGTGCGTAATGGTGGCAAGCAGTTTGTCATGTGTTTATTGACCATTTGTGTATCTTCTTGGAAGTATCTCTTCAATTCTTTTACTTTAATTTTTTTCATTGTCTGTTTTTAAATGTTGAATTGTAGAAGTTATTATACAACCTAGATACTAGCAGTCAGATATACTTGGTGAATATTTTCTTCCATCTTCTAGCTTGCCTTTAATTTTCTCAATGACATATTTTGATGAGTTCAATTCCTTAATTTTGATGAACTTTAAATTTTTTCTTTTATAATTTCTGTGATCTAACAAATATTTGCTTATTCCCAATTTATAAAGATATTTTCTTCTAAAAGCTTTATGAGTTTAGATTTTATATTTAGTTCTAAGAGCCATCTCAAGTTAATCTTTGTATATGTGCTGCTGAAGCAAGCACTCAAGTTAACTTTTGTATGTGGCATAAGTAGGGATCAGGATTCACCTTTTCCACAAAAATAGACAGATATACTATTACAATGTGAGAGACTAGTTAGACTAATATTTTTTTAAAAATCAATTGTCTCATGAATGCAGTCAGTGTCATTTTACAAACTGAAGGCTTCCTATGGGACAGCCTGAAAGTTTTGCCCAGAGAAGCTCAGAATTAAGAGATATAAGTAATTTCAATTCAAGATGATGACTTCTCTATTAGTAGTAAGAGTGAAATACCATTCGCAGTATAGAGAGAGCAAAAAGTGCTAAAAAAAATTGGCATCAGGGTAAAACAGTTCACTAATATTCAATGGGGTGAAAATGATTTAAAGAAGACAGAAACTAGTATTTATGTAAGGTTAAGGGATTGAAATATTTTTTAGCAAAGATTTGCTGTAGACCCTAATTGAAAATAAGTATTATCATAATTGGGCCCTTTTTCTTCTTTTAGTCACACTCTCTTTGGCTTTCATTTTTCCCTTTTCTCCCTTAAACCTGCGCTCCCTTCTTTCAGAACACACCCTGACTTCTCAGTGTTCTAGAGAGACAGTGATGCTATGGCCTTGGTGGCAGTTTTTCCTCTTTTTCCCTAATCCTGGGTCCCTTTTCTCACTCAGTGGACTCTATAATCAAATATAGCCTAAAACACATGCCATTGATCAATTTACATTTTCTATTAATAGCTGGCTATGACTTAATAGACTTCCTTCCTTTTATAGCTGGAACTCTGAAAATATAATAAACTCAATCCGATCTTCAGTTACTGAATTTCACTGTCCCTCGGTCCCTCCCCCTGTAAAATGGGGATAATGACACCTCAGACAGATTTTGGAAGGATTATGTAAAATAACATATAAAGTATTTAGAGTCTGGCATATAGTAAGTACCATGTAAGTATTTGGTAGAAGAAAGAATCATAAAATAGTCATGTCTTGCTGCTTATACAACAAAATGTTGTGAGCTGAGAATGAAGGGCAACAAACACAGACTTGCTTGGAGATGAGACTTTTCTGCGGCCCCTGTGAAGGACACAGTAGTACTGAGAGTGAAGCATTCAAGATTTTTAAAAAAAATCCTTAGTGTTTAAGTATGAAATGCCTGCGCCATCTGCTGGTCATCATGGGGAAATGAGAATTAGAGGCTTGGAGGCCACCTCAGCCAACGGCAGCCCCAGCCAAACCTTGGTAGATTCCTGGGGCCTGAGCAGAGAAATGTGGGTAGAGTATGTACCCGTGGTTTTCAGGAACAAAGAATTCTGTGTATCTGGTTCAAGTTGCATGTGTCAACCTTCCCCAAGGCAAGAATCAGATTAGCAGGTTTATAGACACAGAAAGGGAAATGTAGAATCTTGCCCGAAAAGGAGCCACTTCATTTTCTTAACTCCTGGCATTTACCAAGATGAAAGATCCATGCAAAAGGCTCAGCCAGATGACACTGACAGGTCCCTAAGACAACAAGCCCTGCAGGCTGTGACCCACTCAAGCACAAGGCTGGGCCACTGGGTTTCTTTAGAAACAGAGATGACATGCTTATTTTGTGCCAGGCACTGCAGTAGGCATTTTCAGTTTAAGACTACAATCTTGTAAAATATTCTTAGCCCCATTTAACGGGTGAGGCTCAGAGACCTTAGAAAACCTGTCAAAGTCCACCTTATTACCAATGAATACATTAGTTTGCCAAAGCTGCCATATACTAGTTGTCTCAAACAACTGAGTTTTATTCTCCCCTCTTCCAGAGACTAGCACCAAGATTAAGGTGCTAGAAATCTGGTTTCTGTTTTGCCCCCCTCTTTGGCTTGCAGATGACTATCTTCTCACTGTCTTCTCATGTGGCATTTTCTCCGTGTGCATGCATCCCTGGTATCTCTTTGTCTGTCTACATTCCCCACTTCAAGGACCCCGCTCAGATTAGGTTAGGGCCCACACTGATGGTGTCATTTTAACTTAATCACTTTTTTTTAGTGGTGAGATTGAACCCAGGACCTACTGCATGCTAGGCAAACACTCTATCACTGAGCTACATCCCCAGCCTCTAATTACCACTTTATAAAAAGCCTGTTATCTAAATATAGTCACATTTTGAGGTAGTGAAGTTAGGGCTTTAATACATGAAATTTGGTGGAGGGGACATAGTTCATTCCATAAAAGAGACTGAGCTAGGCTTCAATCTCAAGCCTTCTAATTTCAGTCTGTTCCCCCTTCTAGAGGCTGCTCTGCCCTCTTCCCGTGGCTGCTCTGTCCTCAGGCTTAAGGAAAATGAATTTTTGTTTGATTTCAGTGGGAATGGTATGAATCTAAAATTCTGAGTTCTGCCAATCCGGGGAAACTACCATAGAGATTTAGCCAGAATGGGTATGTTTTTGTGGCTTCCTTCTAGGGTGACCAACCAAGATGAACAAGATGTCAGGTCCAAAGTTCACATAAGAGTTGGGGAGTTAACTCACTGCTAAGAAAATCACTTCTACATTTATAGGAAAACATACTTGGTCATCTTCTTGGTTTGTGGAGATAATCAGTTCCCAGGATGAGCTAGGAGGCTTATTATCCCAGCCAGACTCTGAGGAGACACTACTAAACGGTAGACTCTCCGAATGTCTGTACTAACTTGGACTTGCCCAACAGTTTTGAGGAAATGGCAGCTATGCACTGCTCTGGTATTTGGGAACAAATTCTCGACCAGAGCTGCATTTGCTCCTATAGCTGATGTGCAGCCATAGGAATGCATGACCATACTCAGGACATTCTTGTGGCCAGAAGGGGTTAAGATGCCGAAGTATCTTTCCAGTCTAGGGACACCTGGCTGCTGCTATCTGTTGGGCAAGGGCTGGGCACACTGGAATACCTTGGCTTTAGGTGCAGGCCACCACCATTATCTTAAACAGAGAGCCTAGGATTCATCAGCAGCTAGTTCTAAGAGCTTAACAGTATGAAAATTACAGTGACATGTGGGCTAACACTTGTCACCAGAGAGATCTGACAGATCCAGTACTAATGAGTCAAGATAATAAGCTTGTGTAGAAGAAGGGAACAGGCACTGAAATAGAGTGTATCCACATCAGTTCTGCACACTAGAAAAGCCAGTGCCCCAGGTTATTGACTCTTTCTAGCTATGTGGTCTGGGTCACTTAGCGTCCCTAAGTCCCATCTTATGTCACAAGGATAAAGTACATCAGACAATGTGTCCTTATATAGGCTGGCATTGATTTAAGACTCAAGTGAAATAATTTATAAAAAGGTACTTTATATTTAGAATACAGTACACAGATATAAACTATTCTTTTTAAATATTCCCTTTCTATTACTATAGTTCTCTGCATAATCAATATCTATCATCTATCTATCTATCTATCTATCTATCTATCTATCTATCTATCTATGGTACTGGGGATTAACCCAGAGTCTTCATACTAAGCTATATCCCTAGTCCTTTTTATTTTAAGACAGGGTCTTGCTAAATCACTAAGTTGCTCAGGTTGGAAATGAACTTGCAATTCTCCTGCCTCCGTCTCCAAGCAGGCTGGGATTACAGACATGCACCACCATGCATGTACTGCACAGACATTTCACTTTTCAAATTGCTTTATAGAAACATCCATGTTAGTTTTTCCTGCAAGATTGAATTCTACAAGGTGGAACTACATCATTTATCTTGTACATGTTCCTTTGCACTATCTCCTTCTAGGAACTCAGTGTGGTGAATGAATAAATAATGTTAGAGGTGTTCATTTGTTTTATTTGTACTATTAGTTTCTCTTAGTTCATTTTTTGTAAGAGACAGTCTCTTGTGTCTATGACTTGTTGAGTAACATTTTGGCCATTCTTTTAAGATTATGGTACAGTATACAGTATATTAACTATTGTTATTCTCTATTTTGTTATAAAGTTTTGTTTTAGGGCTGGGGATTTAGCTCAGTGGCACCATGCCTGCCTTGCAAGCACAAAGTCCTGAGTTTGATCCCTGGCACTGCCCCCCCCCAAAAGAATGAAATTTTGTTTTATTTTTCCATAGAAGAAAAGTGCTTTTTATATTTTTATAAATATCTACATGTAGTACATTAAATTTAAAATAATTAATTAAAAATAATGTTAATCTACAAATTTACCAAAGGCATAAGGAAAAATGGTGTGGATGGATGACCATATATTTTAAAGAAAGAGTTTTTAATTCTGGATCCTTCAAAGAGATATCATACTGGTATATGAAATTCTGTTTTTAGTTCAATTAATTTAGTCAAGACTTAATAAATCCCCACAGAAAGGGGTTTCTAGTTCTGTTCATGACTGATATAGTAAGGACCTCTCACCAAGAAAGAAAAATGCCGATGCCTCTGGCTATTGAAACTCCTGATTAGGTGCCCACTGGTATCTGAACCCATGCTATCCGAATTCAGAACCAGACTAACAGGGCCATATGTTTGGACGAACCTTTCACTATCTGAACTCTGTGCTCACCATTTGGAACTCAGGAACTGATCTTATAAATATCTTTTGTTACTCAAACATATTAGTGTCTCAAGTTGGATTCCAAGGGGTGCCCTGTTGTCCAAATGTATTTATAACATTCTTTTTATACATACACACACACACATATATATATGAATATATATACTCACATACAAATATACACATACACACATACATACATACATATATCCACCTATACATATATATATATACACATGTATATGTATACATGTATGTGTGTGTGTGTGTGTGTGTGTGTGTGTATATATATATATCCCTTTTCTTGGCAACATCTATTATTCATTGACATTCAGGATAAAGAACATCATCTCATGCAAATATCTGGACTGGAGAGTTTCCTGCTCTAATTATGTAGTCAGACTTAATTCTTCCCTAAGGAAGTTTCTGAAGCTATGGCTTGGTACTTTATGACTCATGGTCACCATAGAAGGAAGAAGAAATTCTTGAAGGGCTGACTCTGAATTCCTATCACCTAGCACAGTGCTCTGTATTAAATGCTTAAATGAGTGGGCACTCAGGCTAAGGCAAGGGCAGACCACGATGAGTTCATGTGTCAGAAGAGAACAGTTCAAGAGTTTAACTTAGTATAAAAATTTAGAGAATACTTGTGGATTATAAATACATTTAAAAAAAGTGTTTAGCGTTCCTTTTGGAACAATTAATGCAATCACCTTCAAATATACAGCTTTTTCAAGTATGATTTTTGTTTTTTTTTTTAAATCCCTTAAACTGTAAGTTTTACTGTTGTGTATTTAGAAGAGAGTCAAGATAGATGTTTTTTTACAAAACTTATCTGTGGGGTAGAAGGAACTCTTACCTATGAACCAGAGTGTTCTTGAGGCCGCCAACCAGGCCCCTGGCAATGGTGTTCACTCTGGGGGTGAGGATGGCCTGGGAGACATGGAAGGAGCCTTGTGGGGCTCGCTCACCAAGGGTGGTCTCCAGGAAGAGGATCAGTTTACGCACACTTGTGGTATTTGCCCAGGGTGCTGGAATTTTCTTTCCGGGCCACAGGAAGGAATATTGCTTGTAGAAGGGACAGTGGTAGAAAATAAGAACCTGAAATGTTCAGAAGAGCAAAAGAACAATTTATGAAAAAGCTGAACATCAACTCCTTGATTTTACACTGATTTTGGGGAGCAAATAAATGTAAATGGAAATTAAAGAATCACGTATTTAAAAAAATCAAAAAGCAAAGATTTATAGTGCACTTGGTATATGGCTGATGCAAAGATTTTCTTTTTTGTTATGAACACCTATGGTAAAATCACAGACCGGTTTCTCAGGACTGTGTTTTAAGTCAGTGCATGAAATAAAATGCACAACATTACAAAGGAAATCAATGACACAGAAATACACCTTTCAAAATGTTAAATCAATTTATAATACACGTATGTGCCTTGTGATAAATGCATTAAACAAAATTATTGTGTTGTGGTCCAATAAGTTCCATAATTTTGAGTAATAGCATAAATGATATCTTAAGATACTTTCAATAACTGAAATGTGTTATGTTCACATCTTTAGGGATAAGTAGCAGGTAGGACCACCACTCATAATTGATGAGTATACGAAATTTTAGTTAAAGGCCAGTAAAAATGAATCTGTAATTTTTTACCATTACATTTAGTCTTGTTAAATTCTATAAATACAGCCCCTGGGAAGTCTTTGCACCTGTCTGAAAGAAAACATTGGGAATGAGCTACCTCATAGGGTCCAGAATTTGTTTCCTGTGCTCATAAAGTTGACACTAAACTCTTGGAGTTTAGAAAACCATACTGAACTAATCTGTGAGTAAACATTTTTTCAGTTGTGCATATGAACTGACTCTGAATGAAACTGTCCTTCCCAGGAGAGGGAGGGAGTGTGCTGCTAGGTCAGGGAAGACTTCGCTGAAGTGGAGTCTCCAGTGGGACTGCTCAGGATGATGGTAATTTTGAAAATAATTAGCAAGCTGCATCCACAGCATTAATTAGTTTCTGGGAGGCAGCTGTGGTCAGGGAATTGCTATTTTGATTGTCCCAATTCGGAGCTCTGTTGGGTAGGTTTCTAGAAGTCATGGGTTTTCCTCTTAGAGGCCCTAGTGAGCTCTGCCTGGGGAAATGTCTGTGTGTGTATACCATGCCTGGACCACGGTCCGCAGCCAGCTGGCCCAGAGCATAATCCTCCAGCCTCCCATGAACAGAGCTCTGCATATTATCTTGTTTCTAGTGTGCATTCAGCTGGTGTGAAGGCATCTGATGAGCCACTCCTGCCAGCCAAGAGCTGGGGAGTGCCAGGCTAGATGCATCACAAGGGGTGATGGCTGTTCTTGTTTTTATTGGTTCTGAGTAATGCTGACTGACTGCTAATGATGTCTGCGGTAAACACATGAGTTAATGAGGTTAATCACAGGCCCATCTTAAGCAGATTGCCTGGGTTAGCAGGGAGGATTTCCTCTGTCCTCCTGGGTAATACATTGGCTAGTTTGGAAGGCTAGGGCCAGGAAAGTGAGCTGCCTTGAGCAATGGGCAGGCAGGAGGCTGTGCAGCCCTGTGACAGGCCTTGCCACATAATATCCTGGGACAGGCTTGTCACGAAGTACAAGTACTGGCCCCTGGACCTAGTGTCAGGGCATAAGAGGGCAATGTGTTCCTTTACCTTAAAAAAGGTGGAAATAGTACAAATTAAACAGTAAGGGCTATCTGACTTTCCCGAAGAGCCCTGTTGAACTGAAGGTTATTGGAAATTTCTTCTTGTAGTAGGAATCTAGTCTAGTAAGCAAACTCTCCTTTGGCAAGAATCCAGGTGCAGTGACTTGCCTGGAACATGTTTTGTATCTGCATTCCCACCTCACTCTCTGCCTTTTTTCCCCTGAAATACTCTCCCCAACAGCTCAGCAGTTCATATTCAGTTTTTCTCTTGAGACTCAGATTAAAAAATATCTAATTTCCTTTAAGAACCATTCCTTAATTGACCTCCGCTTATTCTGACTGTTCCTTTACTGAGGGCCTCTGGGATGCAAATTTATGTTATGTTCTACTTTTCAACTAATTGATTACAAAACCTCCTGAGTTACATTGCACAGAGCATTTGAAGTAGTCTTATCTTGCAATTGTATATCAATTGTTTTGTATTTCACTAAGGTTATGTATTTTTACCTTGTCTTTATGATCCTGAATACTTCCAAGATGTAGATTAAATCTAACTCATCTTACCTTCAAAACCCATCTCCTATATAGTATATAAATATATATCTGTAAGCTGCATTATAATTGCATGATTAGTAAGTGAAATTTGAATGGTAGTACACTTCTCAATATTGAATTGCAGTAATAAAATACTCAGGGGGTTGCATTAAAGTAGCTCATTACATAATGAATATTTAAAATCTGATCACCCATGTGACACCACCCCAGCAGGGGAGAGGTGACTGGTAACTTTCTTTGAGATCTCGATTCAACTTTTAAGAAGAGATACAAAAGGGAAAACAAGGGGGAAGAAAGGAGCATAGAGTGTCTTAGGATTTAAATTGGTGATACGCTCCATTTCTCTGATACATCAGTCTCTTTCATAACTTTAGGAGTATTTGTAGTGGGATGACACACTTAAAACTAAGATCATCAGTCCATTGCTAGAAATTCACTGTCCACACAATTGATTTTTACTGAAGGTACTTCTTACTCCTGGAGATTTTAATCATCTTAGTATGCAATGCAGCAGCCATTAGAATACTATGTACAGAATTATAAAATTTTGTATGAACTCAAATTTAAACTGATATGAATCATATTCAAAAGCCACCCTTTTCTCTCATTTTGTTAACTCTCTGAGGGCCTCTGACAATAGGGACTTATTAATAAAGACAAAGTATTTGCATCAGTGTCACAAATGATAGCAGCTGTGAATGTCATCCGGGTATATAAACAGCCCATAGAGAGCAGCAGAAGCTGTGGGAATCTGCAGCCCAGATGGCCTGTGAATGAATCCTGGTTTCACCACTCACTGACAGCACTCCCTTGGGAACCTGCTTAATCTCCCTATTCCTCAGTTTCCTCATCTTTTTTGTTTTTGGTGTTTTTTTTGGTACCGGGGAATTGAACTCGGGTCCTTGCGCTTGCGCAGCACGCAGCAAAACCACTGAGCTAAATACCTGGCCCAGTTTCCTCATCTTTAAGTGAGGCTAATAACAAAGTTTCTATCTCATGGTGTTGTTGAGAGGATAAAATGAGTTAATCCATTAGTCATTGGAATGGTTTAATAAATATGAGTTGCTACTGTTGTTACTACTATCTAATGATCTAAGACAGAAAGTCTGCTGGAAATAAAATCTTTCCAAGTTAGATCCACAAGGAGAGATAGACATAAACCTAGGTTTGTGGGGGACAGATGTGACAAATATTGACAAAGTATCATTTACAAAACTTTTACTGAGGTAAAATGGCTTAGATATATTTTAACAAATACCTGGAGTTAACCCATGAAGCCTCCATGAGTCTAAGACAGCACTTTTACTGGTGAGGTGTGCAAAGGGACCTGGTATTTCCAGTTACTCAAGCCAAACCTGAATCTTTGCTTTCTTTCACCCCTGAAATCTATCCATTAGGAGTCCCTGTCGGCTGTACCTTCTGATACATTCTGAATATAACCACTTGCCAATAAGTCTCCTCACTGCTTTCCTCACATTTGCCCACTCCCTGCCCCTGATGTTTTCCTAGCACAGGAATCAATCCCATTCAAGCCTTAGGCTCAAGACTCTCTTGACATGACTGTCTCCCTGACCTCTTCCTGCTACTCAGCCCTTGCCTGCTCACTAGCCTCACTGTCCCTGTTTTTCCTTAAAAATTTCAGGGCCCTCCCTGCCTTAGGGCCTCTGGCTGCTTCCTCTGTCCCCCAATACCAATCTGATTTATTCCTTCAAATGCCATCTTTTCAATGAGGGGTACCATACTCAACCTATGTAAAACTGCAACCAACTGTTCCACCCAAAGAGCCTGCTTGTTCCCCTTATACCACATTAGACTTTGTCTATAGCTTTTATCACTATATATATAAATATATATAAATTATATAAATATATATAAATATATAAAAAATATATAAATATATATAAGTGCTATTTATTATCTTTTTTCTATGATCTCCCTCCACTTGAATGAAACCTCCTTTAGGGCAAGAATTTTTGTTTATTTTATTTACTCATTTATCCCAAATCCTTAGAGCTGTACTTGGTACACATTTGGTGTTCAGTAAATATTTACAAACAAATAATCTTTAACTAAAAGATCCTTTTAATTTGCTTAATGATCTATTGAGCAAGTGAGCAACTTTGAATGAAAAGTACTTGCTGGTTTTTTTTTAAATTTTTGTTTGTTTTCATAAAGGGAGTCTATATTGGAGGCTGCTCTTTCCTGAAGCTCCTCCCTTCTTCTACCATGCCTTAGGGTCCAAGTGGAATATGGCTGAGGCCCACATTCATTTTCCAGACTCTCCTTCAAGGGCTTAAGTTTGGATTCTCCTTTCCCCTTAGGCAGCCTGGGAAACGCTCCTGGCTTCTCCCTTCCTTAACTCGTCTTTTCCTATGACCCAAATTCCATGAAGAAGCCCTTTTAATATGTGAACACTCCTGAGATGAATGATTTCATGTGCTTCTTTAGCTAATGGTTTTTATCACTAGATACCTCTACAAGAATTGTCTGAGGGGACCTAGGTGGGGGTGAAAATGGACCTTATGGGGGACAGAATGGTAATGACTAACTGATCCATTTCCCAATTCTGCCTTGGGCTGGTTCTGGCCATTCAAAATCAATTCAGCTGTCGAACAGATTGCACAACAGCTTTAAATATGTGGCCACTGTTAGCCTGATTCAACAGGGCACATGGAAGCCTATTAAGCTACCCTAGCACTCAGGAACCAGTCTACATATGTTTAGTATTCAAAATAATCCACACCTTCTAGCTTTTGAGCCCTGGGTTGTGCTATTTTACAAAGGGTAACATAGGAAAAGCAAAAGGGATTAGGTTCCTGCCCTTGTAAGCTCATCGCTGCTTCCTTCCTACCTGGCACTTCTTCTCCCACAGGGTCAGCAGGGTCAGACTTTCCACACTGCAGGCCGGGCACAGCTTGTTTCCAAACGCCTCCTGGATCTGGAGCATCAAGCATTTGTGGTGGGCCTCATCCATGGCGTAGAAGTGGTTGAAATCCAGGAAGATGATCTCTTGGGGGTGCTGTGTGAGGAATGAGTCGATTTCCATCAGCCCATCCCAGACCTTGATCCCAAAAAGCCCATGGATGAAGTAAATCTCCTGGTCAGCATCCCCTGGTTTAGAAGACACACGCAGGTCGAAGTAGCGGATTCCAGCTTCCAGCTGCTCTCGAAAGGTCAGGTTCTGAGTCACAGACCATTTCTTCATGAGCTTCTTCACCAAGGAGATTTTGGCCAGGCGTTTGATAGCTGGGGTCTGGTCAGGCCCCACTGGGGATTTTTCATCTACCCAGTAGCTGAATGAATCATGGGAGCCTGTACAAAGTAATAAAGGGGAAACCTAAGTCAACTGATAAGAAAATAACAATTAAGAACCAAATATATAAAAGCATTATAAATGAATACTTGCAAAAATTGCGAGCGTGCTGGGAATGAAATAAACACAAATAAAAGTAATATAGTCTTATTAGCAGCTTAAGCCCAGAGTAATACTATAAATCTCATATATTGCCAGTGTAAAGTAAATTAATACATACCCTTTTGGAAAGCTGTTTAGAAATATGCTTAGAAATAGGAGGTTTAAAATATTCATACCATTTGATCTAGTAATTTCATTTTATGAAAGCTATTCCGAGGAAATAAACTCAAACATTTGGAAAAAACAAAAAGGTTGTTAAGCATATCCATAACATAGACAAACTGTAGGTTAAGTGCCCCTCAAAGAATGCTTAATGGTGGGATGTATTCTTTATTCATGCTGGCTTTAGAACAAAGGGTATGAAAATACTGTCTATCTCACTAATTCTGGGACAGGCATTTTAATTCTAGGAAAGAAGAATTTAAAAAAAGAATTTGACTGCTTTTTATGCTTTTATTTAGCTTTTTTTTGGTGGTGGTGCTGGAATTGAACTCTGGAAGTGCTAAGGAGGTCCTTTCTCCTCTCTCTTTTTCTCTCTCTCTTTCTCTATCTTCTCCACTCTTCTTTCTCCCCTCTCTCTTTCTTCCCTCACTGCCCCCTTTGTATTGTGAGATAGGGTCTTGCTAACTTGCCAAGCTAGGCTCAAATGTGATTTTCCTGCACGGACCTCCCAACTAGCTGGAATTATGCCACTGCACCCAGCTTTTTAACGCTTTTAATGTATAAAAAATTTAAAATGGTAAATGTGCATGATATTTTACTATTGTAAAAACCTTAGTAGGAATGATTTCTTGAAAGATTAGATAAACATTTACATGGACTCAACAGAGGTTGGTGATACTATTTTTAAACTAATATTTTGATGGGCTGAAACTGCTATTAAATGGTCCAAATTCTCCCCCCCACCCTTCTTTAAACAGCAAGAGGCTTGGTATCCTCCTAGACACTAAGATTATCTTGTTATAGAGTATAAGTGATTATGATAGGCACATTTCTAACTGTAGTGAACAAATATTTCAAAAGCAAATATTTTAGATGAAAATTATCTTTAATCACTATCATCCATTATCATATTTATTATTCTCCAACTCGTGCAACATGCTAATTTGGTTAACGCTGTGGCATAAAAAAATCTAAGAGAAGTCCTTGTTCTGACACTGCTAATCTTGGCCTTAGTCATTACATCACATTAAAACCAAAATTCTTGTGTTTCTTATTCATTATCACCAGTAATCCATTTTACTAATTTTAGAGTAGGAAATTTGTATATAATAAAGACTTTTGCAAATCTCTATAGTTTTATCTTATGTCCGTTCTCTTGAAAATAAATCATAGTTCTGCCTTTACTATTTTATCATCACAGATACAAAGTAGCCTTTACTAATTTATCATTTCAGATATAAAGTGAAAAAAACAGTTGATAAATGAGGATTTAATTTTATGGGCATCCAGAAAATGGAAGACATTCAATAAGTATTAAAAAAACACATTTATTAATTCTTAGGCAAATTGAATTTTGCAAGTGGGATAATTAGCAGCATATTTCAGGTAAAAAAAATTGTCATTGCTAATAGAAATGTGGAGCAAGTCCCCATGGATCTTCAGCGTTGGTTATTGCTGTTAATGGTACCCACTGGATACTTGCCTAACACTCTGCTTCTTTCAGCTGTTCAGAAGCAGGAAATTTTTATATCTCCTCATTGAGAGATTTATTACGACTAGCTTATGTGTAGATGGTGAGCAGCCAGTTTTCTCTTCTTTTAAAACTGTATTAACAGCCCAGCCGTTCAAGATGCAGTGTGTAATGTAGTGTGAGGCACATATTGGACTTAATTCTTCTGGGCATCAGGGAACAGCCATTATCCAGGCATGGAAGAGAGACAAATCCCCTCTGGTGTTTGTTTGTTGGTGCTGAGCCCAGTTTCAACTCCAGAGGGAGATTTGCTAACAACCTCCAATACTTTGCTCCATATCTGAGGACTGTAGAAATGTGACAGCAATGGGACTTCAGGGATTGTTTCTGAAGGCACAGGGACACACAGGGTACCTGGCCCACCCCACAGAAGAGGGAGAACCTGCTTATTCTCATGGACTCCAGGCTCCTTTTACCTTTTTGGTTCCTTTCTGCTACTCAGGCCTGTCTTATCCTTTCTGAAATCCTGTGCTCTATACCCGCCTCCCTGTGTTCCCCACACAGGACAAGACAATGGAGCAGATTTTTTGTGAATTTTTTTTCTTGTGGTCCTACCTATGTCTACACCAATCAAAAGCATCAATCACTCAGTTGCCACTATCAATATTTTTGCCTTTCTACTTATTTTTTTTCTAGAAAACTTTTGCCTCACATAGAGTGAGTGAAGTAACATTTAAGTAATATGATACACTTCAGTGCATTTATTTTTTCAAATAGGCTAAAAATGCAGTGAAATTTGTAAATAGTACTAATAAAAAATCCTAATAGTTTACAATACAAATTCACTATCACAACTTTCCTTCCCATGGAAGCTATTTTAGTTGTTAAATACAGTCAACAGTAAGAAAATTCTCCCCTCTGCCCTGGGATATGAAAATTAAATCCATGTACTTCAGAGAAGAGGAGAAAGAAAATACTGTTCATCGGTCCTTGCCTTTTCTAAGAGGACTGCTGCATGAGACAGCAGTTTCTGGCTTGTCTAATGATAAAGTCAGAAAACAATTTAGGATCTCATATGGTGTGACTTTCTGCCACTGAAACGACTTTTACTGACATTACCCAGCATATGCTAGGCATCCTCACTCTCCCCTGAAGATGGCTTTTATATTTCTATCTGAAAAAGAGTTTGGTGCGTCCTTTGACTTGACCCCATACATCTTACCCTTTACATTGTCTTCTCTTTCCTTCTCATGGTCAAAATCTTGAACGTCCTGATCAGCCCTGCTGTGTTTGTCTCCCATGACCCATTCACTCCTTACCACCCCTAAGTTATCGCCTCTCCTTCTGTTGTAACTCTCGATCCTGACAACTTTCTAATTTATTCTTTTTGGTTTTGAGCGTTTGCCAAGTCACTTTCTGGAAACTTCTACTCCTTTGTGCTCAGTACTATAGCTGCATGCTTCTGGGTGTTCTAGCCTTCCTTCATCTCTCCTTCCCCTGTACTTTGCTCCTTTTCCTCTTTCTTGTCCCAAATTTAAATGTTTTCTGAGGATCTGTTCTCTATTTTTTTCCTTTTCTCACCTTCAGAGATTTCACACTTTTCCCAGTCAACCACAGAACCATAATGCAGGTGACAGCTCAGACTCTTCTAAATTCCAAATTTATGTTTTCACCTTCCTGCAGGGATCCCCCAACTGACAGCTTGTGCACACAATGAGCTATAGATTTCCAAAGTCCAGCTACTCACAAGATGTCTTTCTTGAATTTCTGCCAGCAGTTCACTCAGTCACTTGGACTTGAAACCTTGGATTCTATATAAATTCTTCCCTTCCTCTCATCCCTTTTTTCTAATCACCTACCAAAACTTTATGTTTGACTTTTGCAACACGTCAAACTTTTCTCTTCCCTTGACCTTCAACTGTCACGCTTCAACAATGCATTCATTACTGTCAAAGACAATCAGGACTAAAAGAACCCTAATCCTTTCACTCCAGCCTCTCTAATTTGTTCATATTCAAAAGGAAGGCAGTTATCTCAAGGTATACCTCTAATTATGACACTTGCCTCCTATCTCCAAAATCAGGTTCCAAGACTGAACACAGAGTTAGGACTCCCTTCAATATGGCTCTAATGGCTCATCTCAGACTCGTCTTTCATGAGGGCCCTCCGTGTCACCTGGTGTCATTAGAATGCAATTCATAAAGATAGGCAAGTTTCTTTCTGGACTTGGTTTACTCTTTTCTATTGAGACCTTATATGAACTATTCTTTCATTCCAAGTCTGTCTGGCTCTTCACCCTAGCATTTACATCCCACGAGTAAGTTGCGGACTCTGTGTTGTAGTTTCCTCATCTATAAAAGGGACATAATAAGGCCCATCACCACAAAATTGTTGTAAATACTGAAATCTATACAAAGTGCTTATAACAGTGGTGACACCTATTAAGAGCCAAACTATCATAATGATTATTATTAGCCATGATCTGTGAGTTAGAAACAGAGGGAGATGGGCTTCTGAACCACAGCTTCTTATCTTAAACACTGAAGGTCTGGAATATTTACTTTTCTGCACCTGACTCCCTGTTCCTCTTTATCTTATTGGTTGATATACAGATGATACTTTAGTATCCATATTGTGCAAAGTGGTCACTATTCTCTTGGTCACGGACTAAACTCTGTCTTCAAGCACGTCTAAAATCTTAACATTCAATTTCTTGCTTTGTGCTCGCAAGTTACTTTTTTTCTGCCTCATTGCAACTGGACTTCTTTTTATCTTTCCCTCCAGTCTCAGAGCGCAGCACTGACTTTTACTTCATTCTTCAGCTATATCCAAGGTCATTCATTTGCCATTTTTATTGCAGAAATAAAGTCACTGGTTAAAGAAAATGTGTTTTTTAAAATAAAATGGAGTACTACTCAGCCATAGAAATGGGAAATTAGAGACATTTATAGCTAAATGGATGCACATTGAGGCGATATTCTTAAGTGAAATAAATAGGACATACATGTGTAAATACCAAATAGTTTCTCTGGTGTGAGAAATTGAAAGTGCAAATAAGGACTAAAAGGTATAATAGATGATGTGAAATAGGAAGAAAAGGGGCAAAGGGGTAAGGGTAGGGGAAAGGAAAGAAGGGAATGGAATTAATATGAGAAAATGAAAAAATAGAAACAAAGTCTTTGTAAATAGGGAGGGATGGAGGAGTTGAAGGGAGGGCAGGGGAATGGGAAAAAAATAAGAACCAAGAGAGATTATGCAAAGGTG